ATGAATGTGAAAGAGAAGATGCAATTATATATGCATATGGCAGGCAGTCTTTGAATTTCTAATTATATATATACATTACATGTGGGGCAGAAAAAAGAGTGGTTCAAAACTTCAAACTTCAAACTTCAAAAACTTATGTGTGTCAGATTCTTAATCTATGTGTTCCCACTTCCCCACCACTAAAACTTTATTATAAAATTTATATCCTCTTATCACTTCATAACATTGGATTTAACCTATAGTAGTATTAAACAATGCCCTCTCCCCTTGTTATTTGAAATGTGTTTGGATTATATGTTCTCACTTTGGGGAGAAATTATTTGTTATATGATTTGTATAATAATGGGACTAGCATTTTATATCGTTGGATGAACGTAATGGTTTTTCTCTCGTCTCTTTAAAGATTTTTGTAAGAAAATAACTACCGGAATCTACGTGAATTTTCCTCTTATTATAAGTGGAAGGTTTTGCCTCTTTTTTTAGTGTTGGTATCGATTAATTAGTCTATATATACTTTTCTATCGTCTGTTTGAGATTTCCCATAATAGCAAATTTTGGATCGTCGTTCGTTTTGTCGAGATGAACTCTTTCACGTGGTTTAATTTTTTGGAGAAAAAAATTGCCCTCCGCTTTGCCAATAAAGGGATCAAAGCCCTTAAATTGAAGCTTGACAATCGTCATCCTAGATTGAATTTTTTTTGTATGCCAAGAAAACTGTCTCACCTTTCTACCTTCATTCTTAGAAAACTTTCCTCAAGTCTCTATTATTCTGACGCAGGTAAATGTTTTTGTGCTAAGTTTGAATTGTCAGTTAATATATCCATTTTTTATATGATACAATTGAGCAAAAGTAACACCTTTTCACTACTTAAGCTTCTTCCAATATGCTTTTGGTCTAGAAACAACTAACGCAAACAAAAGTGGGGCTCTCTACAAGCTTGCATTAATATTGTTGGTTTGTTCGTTTTTACTTAAAAAGTAGAAGTAGGGAGCGTCGTTTGCCCACTGTTCAAAAAAAGTACATGAGGTAGTTGACTAGTGAAACTCGAGAGTGAGAAAAAAGAAAAACTTGATTACGAGAACTAAAAAGTCGGTGATTTGAAGCTAAATCTAAAAAAGTTTATTCTTACCTTTTCCTATATAACATCGATGTTAACGGTTCGTACTAAAAAAAACATCGATGTTATTGCAAATTCCGAAAGGATTGATTTTATGGGATAACATACTCTTATGCGTATACATACCAACCCAACTACTTTATATATATCTTCCTAGTTCCCAAGCTTTTATATATTTGCTTATATGAGTATGTCATATTCAGGAAAGTTTGCTTTCTAGCAGAGTATATGTAGCAATACCGATAGCTTAAATGTGAAAGCTACCTTTTTACTTGTAATGCATATTGACATCATTCCAGTTTAATTGAGGCAATCGAGATGTGGCCTTATTAAACGTCCATCATTTTCTTCAAGTAGGCCACTCTTTTTTAATGTAACGTAGGGTAATTTGTGTATAGAAGATTCATACGTTAGAAACTTACCATACTTAGGTTTAATGAGAGATAAACTTGATTAAATCACAGGAAATAGTCCATTAATTTATAAGATACTCGGTCAAAGTGTGACTTAATTAGCCGATAAATCTCTCTCTTCGCCTTTTTTATTGGGTTTAAGAGCAAAAGAAAAAAGGCGCAAGAAAAGAGGCCCTGATTTAATAAACAAGTGCAAAGGCTTCGTTGCCTGACAACATGGAGTACTAACCAAATTTAAGGGATGTGCCCTCAAGTGAAGGACACAGGAGCGAGTGAAATCAATGACTTCTCCCGTTTTTGGCCCTTGCACCAACCATCTAACTAAACGACTAACTTCCTTAGAATACTATGTCCCAATGACCCACACACGCGTAAGGTACATATGCCCATATACCGTTATTACTATCCAAGAAGACATTTAAAACTACGAGAAATTAAACAAACCCACCAAGCTACTAGACCCATGACGCGAAAGCTTCTTCACAATTCTAAAAGTGTGCGTAACAAGGATCCACTTGAAGACTTGGATAATAGAGTGAAATATTAAGGTTGAAATAACTAAAATTATTTTGTTTGAAAGAGAATTTGTGTCAACTACGTTTTGATTTGGGTACACTTTCGTACATGGAAGACATTAACCGTAGAAACCTCACGAGGTTCATGATCAATTAAGATCCCATTTGTTAACACTTTTGTTTTTTGTTTTCTATGATTCTTAAAAGATTAGGCTTGTTTTCTCACCATTTCTTTGTTATATTTAATATCTTTCTTAAACGCATATTTCATTCTTAGTCAAATTTCAAAAAGTAAAAGATAAGTTTTGAAAAAATTGCTTTTTAAGTTTTTAAAAATTTATCTTCAACTTTTAAAATGTTTTTTAAAAAAAGTAAATAATAAAACAAAGAAACCCTACCTAATTAAAAAGTAATGTTTATAAGTAATTTTAGAAAATCAAAAACTAAATAACCATCATGCTTAAATAGTTATAAAAACGGGACAACCGTCGTCTGACCCTTCAACATTTGGCACCAAACACAAAAGAATTACTAATTCATAAGTTATGACTCATGTGATAATAGAATTAAATTTCTTTTAATGATGATAATCAATATCTCCTCTATATATATATGTTTGCCAAATATCACACTAAATGGATTCGACATTGACCTGTAAAATAGAGAACGGTGTGGTGCTAACTACACGTACTCCTATGCTTAAGTTAGAATAAGAGGTTTTGAAGAAAGCGTAGCTTGAGAATAGGATTTGTTGTGTACCTTGATTGTGAGGTTTCTCCCTTTATTTGTAGATGTGAGATGGTTGATACGAAATGTAGGTTAACAGGATGGAGTCTGGTCGGGCTATGCACCTGGACCTGGTCGAGTCCTGGTCCTGATCGTGCTCTGGACCTGGTCTTCTTGGATCTCTCTGCTCTTCTTTCCTCCAACTTGGGTCATCTCAAATTTTCTCGACATGTATCTTGTTTGTCGGGGCTAGTTTCATTTTCTTAATAACAATTATTATCCTTTTTTTAAAGTACAAGAGCAATTATTATCTACAGTAACCCATTGAAGTGTTTAATTATAAATAATTATGAATAAATGATTGACTACTATTTTAATCAATTAACGAATAATTCACTTAAACCAAAAAAATCACATGAATAGGACATGAGATTTTAAAGAACCTATAGGAAGTTTACATCTTTCCCACTTCAATAAAATTAGCATTAATTAATCCTTAGAGACCAAAGACATTTCAGAGAACCCATTAAATGCAAAAACCTGTAAAACATCATCTAAATAACGTAGTTTATACATATATTATACTTTTATTTTCAAAACAAATTAGAAAAGTTAAATTATTATTTAGTTTATAAACAAATGTTTATTGTGACCTTAAACTTTGAAAAGTTAAAGTTAGGATGTATTATAGAGCAGCCACGAGCCACAATCAAAATCTACTGAGGAAAACAACTATATTCCAAAGAAAGATAAACTATCAAAAATGACACATTTGACCTATAAAATTATTTGTCAAAGAACTAGGAACATGAACGAATTTTAGCCCACTAAACACCTTCTCCAAAGTCACAACATCCTCAACCTCATTCAATGATGTCGGGGAATACTCATGGAGAGACCTTGTTAATTATGGCACCCCTATTTAGAATTGGAAGGGAAAAATTGCCTCCAAAGTTGTTTTATTCTCTACCATGATAGGTAAAGAAGGATTATACAAATTCTCCAAATCATTCTGGTCACGGATCTTAATACAATTAAGACGGATAGCCTCCATAGATTTCAAAATGGTGTTGAGCCCATCGTCGTCGCACCTCCGTCGTGGCCCAGCTTCTGTTTCATCATCCTTGCCCCTAGACCATGACAATTCTCTGAACCAATATGCAACGAATATGAAAAGTCATCCCAAGAAATCGCAGGTGGCTATTGTCTCCAATGTTGTGTCTAATAACTCTTCAAAAAGTCCTGATGACGAAGCTACGAAACATACATATAACAATGCTACCTTTAATTGTGTTAGCTACAATAGCACTATCGTCGACAACCAAAGGGGAGATCCCTGACACCCAACCGTGTGTCCATCACATAAACCAGCAGGAAAGAAGATCCTCCTTGGAAATCGCCTCCATGACAACAAGAGAGGTCTCTATTATATCTCAATCCATACTCTTACTTCTTGAAAAAAAAACGAAGGAAGAACTAGAACAAAGTAGGGAGAAATACCCTCTAGCATAAAATAAGGAAAAGAGGGGTGGCTAAAGAGGGGAGCAGGCCACTAGCCACTGGCCACCCCCTCCCCACTTTTTTCTCTATCTCCCTTGAAAAAACTCAGTCTCCATAGAGCAGAGAAAGGCCCCAATTGAAAATGCCCTAACTTGTTATCTAAACGATGCTATTGAACGAGCATGGAGTGATTTGTCGAACCTCAAACTTCTTTCTATCATTTGCATGTCCTGTCACATATATCCAATCATACTCCTAACATCTTGAATAGGTCTCTGTCACTAACATTGTTACTCTAAATGTTGACATGACACATGTTGATTAAACACAAAAATCATAATTATGCACAACACAAATGAATAGACAAACATGGTAAAATCAGGTTAAGACAGACAGACTATATATCCACCCGCCCCATCAAATTTTAATATCTAAATGGTGGCCCCAGACAAAATTTACCAATGATCTATCCACTTCTTTCTTCAATCATTTAACATAGTTTTATACATACATATACACATATTCTTCCACAGCTTTACCCAAAAACCAACAAAAGAAAAGGAACAATAGGTAAAAAAAAACCAAAAGAAAATGTTGTTATGTAACAGCAAACCTTTTTAAGTAATATCTAAGAAAAAAAAACAAAAGAAAAAAAAAAGTGTTATGAAAGTGAGAAGTGAAGATGGTTTCACGTGTAAGGTCGGAGAGGACGGTGCGGGAGCGTGCGCCATGTGCTTTGTTTCAGTAACACACCCAACTCTTTTTTCTTTTTTTCTTTTTTAAATTATAATTATAATAAACAAATAAATAAATAATAATAATAATAATGGTTTGTTATTCTTCTTCTTCTTCTTCTCAATGATTTTCAGATAAGAATAAAAAGTTGTGTTGCTCATCCTCCGGATCTTGCCTTCTCTCTCTCTCTTTCTCTCTTTCTCTCTCTAGAATTGTGCTATATATTGTCACCCATTTCACCCAAATTACACATTTTGGAGCTCACCATCATCATCATCGTATTATTATTAATGGCTTCTTGGAAGAAAACTATCATTTCTCCCTTTAGAAAGGCCTGCACCATCTTCAACCAGCAGCCCCGAGACCCCAAAAAGTCCCACTCCGACTCAGGTGAGGCCCTGGGCTCGAAGGAAGAAGATAGACAATTATCTGTCTCTTTTATTCACAGTTGAATTCTAGTGTCTTATCTGCCAAGCTATGTTTAGATTGATAATTTTTTTAGAATTTATGGAGGGTAAGATTTTTGTATAATATAATCTTTGATATTATTTTTTGTGATTTTTGTTTGTAATTAAATTTTCGCAGAGCAAGAGAAGCGAGTGGACGTGAGGGATCTTCAAGGGGAGGTGATGGCATGTGGGTACGAGGATGTGCACGTGATGTGGTCGATTTTGGACAAGGCCAACTCAGGCGCCGCCGCCACCGCCGCCTGCAATGTGTCGTCTTGACGGTGGCCGGAGCGCCGGCTGGTTTCTGGTTGGTTGTTGTAGATAAAGCAAAATTACGTTTCTCTCCCTCTCTCTCTCTCTATCTCTCTGTGTTATTATGTAAGTGGATGGATTTTGTTACTTTGTAGGGAATCCCCATGATTCATAAGCTTTTTAAATCATGGTGAGATTTAAATTTTAAAATTTTTCATTTTTAATTTTTGTTACTTTTAAATATTAATTAGTTATTGCCAAAAAGAAAAAACTAAATCCCTCTCTCTTTGGGGAATGGTGCCTTATCTAGGATGGAAGGAAGTTCAGATCTGATTGGTTGCTCATATTTAGCTATAATTTTTATGCATCACTTTTCAAAAAAAAAAAAGTTCTAACACTGTTTCTAGTTGTTTATCAATCACTAGAAATTTGATCCTTACGAGAAAAAAAATGAAAAATATATCTTGTTTTCCTCCTTCTGC